GTTGACTTGATAGTGTAGTGGAATATCTTTTTGAACACTAAATTACAGCACTATCTGGATGGAAACTTTGCAGGGTTGGTGCAATGTTCTCCAGCTGACTGCTGTTGTTACTGTCACTAAGTGCCTTCAAGTCAGTTCTGACCCATAGCGATCCTGTATAGGGTTTCCGAGGAGTGTCTGTTAGGTGTGAACCACCAACCTTGTAGTTCAAACCAGTCTTCTGGTCCAGTGTTTATCCTAAAACCCCACACCAGAACTCTATGAGATTGCATGTGTGCTAAATTAATAACCAACTGTTGTTGTTAAGTGTCATCCAATCAGGTCTGACCCATAGTGACTCTGTAGGGTTTCCGAGAAGCAGCTGATGAGCTTGAACAGTCAACCTTGCAGTTTAAACTGACTTTGCAGTCCAGTGTATTAATCCACAGTGCCATACCAGAACTCCTAAATATCCAGTACATGATGCATTTCTCACTTATCTATGAATTATATACCCATGTATCAGTTGAATGGGAGAGGCATCACATCTAGTGAAACAGTATTAGGATGCTTATGGCTTCTTATTTTGACATTATACTCTGCTGATCTATTGGTCTTAACTTGAAAGGAAGGAATCACCAGGATAAACAACAGTGAATCCAATGAACTGAAATTTAAAACTGCCATCAAGCCGCTATGATGCTTCATGCTTCAAAATCAATAGACAAATATAGAAGCTGCTACACTGGCTGCTATTATCAATCCCAAGGAGCCCGGGTACCACTGTGGTTGAGTCGGGCTGCTAACCTCAAAGTCAGAAGTTTGAGACTGCCTGCCATTCTCCTGGAAAGATTTATAGTCTCCAAAACCCTATGCAGGGTCACTATGAGTCGGAACTGACTCCACAATATACTAATGCCACTGTAATTGATTCTGTTTACCAAGTAGAAGTTGAACTCACAATGAGGAATTATTGTTGTTAAGTGCCATTGAGTAGGTGCCAACACACAGTGACCCTGAACTACCAACCTTACAGTTCAAACTGACATTGCATTCCAGTGTATTAACCCACAGCACCACACCAGGAAAATAGTCCATTTGGAATACAGTGTCTCTTATTATTATCATGTATTATGTTTAACATTATTGGAAAAGTATAAATATCCAATTCTGGTAAGGATACCAATGGTTCAAACTCTTCAGGAATGAAGTCTGGGTTATCCCACCAGGCAAAGAAACAAAAGTGTCTGGGCAGAACACTTTCACATACATGCATACAATCATCTCTCCATAAGGTTCGGCTTCCTCAGTTTCAGTCAATAGCCAAAGATATATGGAGTGAAGAGGAAAGGTAGCTCCTAAAATACAATCCTGGGATCAAACCACTATCCCAAGGTCTAAATGAGAGTATAAAGTACCATTTAAACAGCATTTGCACTGTATTGTTGTTGTAGTAGTTGTTATGTGCAATGGAGTCAGTTCTGACTCATAGCGACCCTGTACAGAGTTTCAGAGGTTGTATCAGGTATACATCATCTAGAGATGATTTAAAGAATTCTGGAGGATGTGCATAAATTACATGCCAATACAAATGGACTTGAGCATCATCTCATTTGGTATCTGCAGGGTAGGCTGGAGGGGAAGAGTACTGGAAATATTCCAGTACTGGAAATTTGCTGAGTGACAAATACATATGCATTTACATCAATTAACCTTGTTTTTGTTTATCTTTTATCACATTGTTTTTGTTAAGTGCCATTGAGTCAGTTCTGACTCATAGCAATCCAATACATACCATAACAAAATGCTGCCCAGTTCTCTGCCATCTTCACAATTATTGTCATGTTTGACCCCATTTTTGCTGTCAGTAGGTCATTCTGTCTTACTGAAGATCTTTTTCATAGACTCTCCATTTTACCAAGCATGATGTCCTTCCCCAGAAACTGGTCCTTCTTGACAAATGTCTAAAGTAGGAGAGACAAAGCCTCACCATCCTCACTTCTAAGGAGCATTCTGGCTGCACTTCTTCCAAGACAGATTTGTTTGTTGTTCTAGCAGACCTGGATTCTTTCAATACAGTCTTTGCTAACACCATAATTCAAATGCATCAGTTCTAAGGCCTTCCTTATTCATTGTCCAACTTTCACATGCATATGAGGTAATTGAAAATACCATAGCTTGGGTCAGGCACATCTTGTCTTAAAAGTGACATTTACGCTATGTAATACTTAAGGTCTTTTGCTGCAGATTTGGATAATTCAGTATATCATTTGATTTATTGACTATTGGTTCCATGAGTGTTTATTGTGGATCCAAGGAAAATGATGTGGTTGACATTGTCAATCTTTTCTCTGTTTTTCATGATGCTATTTATTGATCCCGCTGTAAAGAATTTGGTTTTCTTTCCACTGAGGTGCAATCCATACTGAAGGCTGTAGTCTTTGTTGCTCATCAGTAAATATGTCAAGTCCTCTTTGCTTCCAGCAAGCAAAATTGTATCATCTGCATATCACAGGTCGTTGATAATTCTTTTCTCCAATCCTGCTACTTGCATACAATATTAATGATGTTATTTGATGATATGTACATTCTGTTGGGTTCCATTTCTTTTCAATGGTTACAAATTTGGATCTCAACCAGTCAGTCGGTTAGCCAAATAGCTGTCCTCCAAATTTCTTGACATAGGTAAGCAAGCATCTCCAGAGCTTGCATTAGTGTGTTGAAACACTATAATTTGTATTCCTTTAATTCCTGGAGCTTTGTTTTTTCACCAATGCCTTCATGGCAGTTTGGACTTCTTCCTTCCATACTATTAGTTCTTGATCATATGCTACATCTTGAAATGACAGAATATTGACCAATTCTTTTTGGTACAAATACTCTGTAAATTCCTCACTACTTCTTTTGATTCTTCCTGCATCATTCAATATTTTGACCATAGAAAACTTCACTATTGTAAGATAGAGCTTGGATTTTCTCTTCAGTTCTTTCCGTTTGAGAAATTCTGAGTGGATTCTTTTTTTTTTTTTCTGACTCCAAGTTTTTGCATATTCCATTATAATAATTTACTTTGTCTTTTCTAACTGCCCTTTGACATTTTCTGTTTAGCTGTTTCACTTCATCATTTATTCTAGTCACTGTATCTTCTTTATATTCAAGAGCAAGTTTCAGAGTCTCTCCTGATATCCATTTTCATCTTTTCATTCTTTCCTGTCATTTTAATTACTTTTTTTATTTTTTATATAAATGGTATTCTTGATGTAATCCCACAACTCTGCTGGTCCTTGGTCATTGTTGTTGTTGTTGAATGCCGTTGAGTTGGTGCTGACCCATAGTGACCCTGTAGAGGGTTTCTGAGGAGCAGCTGGTGAGCTTGAACCACTGACCTTACAGTTCAAACAGCTTTGCAGTCTGGCACATTAACCCAAAGCGCCCTACCAGCACTCCTTGGTCATTAGTGTCTAATAAATCACTTTAAGACAATCTTGAGATTGTCTTCAAATTCAAGTGGGATAAAATAAAGGTCTTATATTGACTCTTGTTAACTTGCTTTAGTCTTCTTGAGCCTCAACCTTAACTTGCATATCTGCAGTTAATGGTCTGTTCCACAGTCTGACCCTGGCCTTGTTTTGTCTGATAAGTTTTCCATTATCTCTTCCAACAGAAGTGGTCAATTTGATTCTTGTACATTCCATCTGAGAAGGCCCACATATATAGTTGTTATTTATGCTATTGAAAAAAGGTATTTGCCATGAATAAGTTGTTGGTCTTCAAAATTCTATCATGTGATATCCAACACCAAGGCTGTATTTTCCAACTATGGATCCTTTTCTGTTTCCAACACATTTGCCATCCAATCACCAGTAATTGTCAATGCATCTTGATTGTATGTATTATCAATTTCACACTGAAGAAATTGGTATAAAGCTCCAATTTCTTCATCATTGGTTTTAGTGTGGAAATTTTATTAGTAATCATATTAACTGGTCATATTTGTAAGTTTATGGCTGTTATCCTATCACAGACAGTATTGTATATGAAGATAGAAATTGAAATGCTGCTTTTGAAAATGAATGTGATGCCATTGCTCTTCAATTTGTCATTCCTGGCATAGTAAGTCATATGATTGTCAAATTCAAAATGGCCAGTAACTGTCCACTTCAGCTCTGTAATACCTAGAATATTGATCTATATGCTTTACATTTCATTTTGACAACTTCTAATTTTCCTAGATTCATACTTTCTAGATTCAATACTCCAATGACTTTTGAATGCTCTCAGCTATTTATTTTCATTTTGAGTTGCACTCCATCAGCAAATGAAGTTTGTTCCCTCCACGTCATCAAGGTCAACGCTACTTTGAGAAGGCAGATCTTTCCTAATTATATTTGAGTGAATTGAAAACTGAGGGACCCATCTTCTGATACTGTATCAAACAATGTTTCATGCATTTCATAAGGTTTTTGTGGCTGTTATGTATTCCATGTCTCCTCCTTCTTAGTATGGAAGTTCCACTGAAACCTGTCCACCACTGGTAATCTTGTTGGTATTTAAAATACTTGCAACATAGCTTCAAGCATTCAGTAACACAGAAGTCACCAGGGTATGACAAACTGACAAATGAGTTATGGCCATGGCTCCTTGTATATATAAATAATATGTTTGTGTGCATGTTTCTATTTTATTGTTCCTATTTTTAGTTGCCTTTAAGTAGTATCTTGCTCATGACAATCTCATGTACAAAAGAAGGAAACTTAGTCTAGTCTTATACTATTTTCCCAATATTTGATATGCTTAAACCTATTGTTGTGGCTACTGTGTATCTTAAGTAGTATCAACCTAGGGATCTCATCTTCCAGTATTATATTAAGCAATATTCTGTTGTGATTACTAGGATATTCATAAGCCAATTTTTGGAGGTAGTTTGCCAGATCTTTTCTTCCTAGTCTCTCTCAGGCTAGAAGTTCTCCTGAAATCTATCTACCATGGTTGACCATGCTGGTATTTGAAATAAGAGTAGCATGGCTTCCATAATAACAACATGCAGGCGATCTTATGATTGCAAACTGACAAAGAGGTAGGACTATGTGTACATGCAAGGAGACATCAAAAAGTTCATGGAAAATGTAATTAAAAGATAATGGAGTTTAGATGCGCCACGGCTTCGTTAGCCACGACAGCACTAGTCCGTGTTAGACGCTTTAACGCATGCCTCCCCCAGGACACTGCCACAGTTGGCCCATGTGTGCTCCCCGGGAACCTTGTGTGACCGAAAGGCCGTGATAAAAAATGCCGACATGTTGAAGGAGATGCAACACGACTCGGTGGAATGTGCTACACAGGCATTGGAGAATTACAATATCGAGAAGGAAGACATCACGGCGCACATCAAGAAGGAGTTTGATAAGAAGTACAATCCCACCTGGCACTACATCGTGGAGAAAAACTTTGGTAGTTATGTGACACATGAAACTAAGCACTTCATCTACTTCTACCTGGGCCAAGTGGCCATTCTTCTGTTCAAACCTGGTTAAAGCATGGACTGGGCCCACACACCCAGTGATCCATCCAAAACCAAGGACTGCAGCCTCAATTCCAAATACCAGAGACTGAAATCTTTAGAGTGCTAAGGGAACACCTCCATCTTTGACCTTTCATTGTGTTGTTTTGTACAGGACCTTCTCTGCAATAGTTAGTTGTGGTTATTAAAAAGTTGCAAAACAGCTTACATTTGTATATAGTTTCTATTCCATACTTTTTCCCTGCCTCATTTTTCATTTCCTTGCAATTCATTCCTTTCAAACAAAAAATAAATCTGCTGGAGATGTGTGTCTTAAAAAAAATAAAAAAGAAAGATAATGGAATTTTTCCAAAACCTTTTTGAAGCTCCCTCATTTACATATTACATAGGTGTATTCTGTGTGCATATTTGAGTGTTCTATGTGCATATGTTTGTGTAATGATAATTAATCACACACAATCTAAAAGATGCAAAAATTACATTGAAGTAGGCATTTTATATTTGATTTTGTGAATGATGGAGCCAAAGATCAATAACTGCTAAAGGGAAAATGTTAAGTTGACACCAATTTTCAAGTTGGTTATATAGTAAAATATGTTTCCTACTATGCACCATGGTCAAAATATTTGTATGACATTAACATAAAGATAACTCAAATAGGACACATATTTTATATGACAAAGAAACACAAAGTGAACATACATGGTTGAAAACATGCTGCTGATATACTTGCTGGATCCAAGGTTGCCACAAACCTTCAAATCATTAAAAACACACACATATACACAGTATCTGCAAACACAATAAATGAGATATTTCCTGTATATTCAATGTTCCTAAAAATATTGCAAAAAATCTTAAATCTGGCAAATCATCAAAATTGCCAGAGAGGCTCTTAAATACATGCACTTTCATGTCCCATGTACAATGTTAGATACTATTTATATACACATAAACATATATTTTTGTATATATTGTTGACCATTGGCTTACTGAATCAGATGACTGATGACAATTTCTAAGCATCAACATTTTAAAGATTTTTCTAGATAAATCTGTTTATTGAAAGCTACTGCCTTAGAAAACTTGAATTTATGTAAAGAAAATGGGTGTATTAACCTTAAGACTAAGATACAGCTTCTTCCTTGATGTGTTCTTAAAATAACCCTACTGAGCTTAGAGTTGTGAGCATAACAAGGCAGAAACTTTGGATCACTGAGTTCAGGCATGGCTGAGAGAGAACTAAGAATTGCCAACTGCAAACTTCCTGTAACCTTTCATTTTTTAGCTACAGTTTTTCACAAATTCCACTAACCAGAAAATTTTACACTATTATAGAAAAAAAAAAACAAAAGAAAATAGACTGAATTTCCTAATGTGATTTTTCTATTTCACCTTAAACCTTCCCTTCTTAGAAAAATAATGTAATTATTAGTTTAATGAATTTAACAGGACTTTGATGTTTATTTTTCTAGTTGAAGCTATTTTGTAAAAATAATACATTTGTTAAAAATTCAAACACTAAAGATACTGTCATATATCGGTATCATATGTAATCAATTTGATGTGTTGTGTAGATTCTAGAAGATAGAGATAGATCGATGATTAAACAATTACATAAATCATAGCATATTTTTATACATATACTCCTCACTTGGGGTTCTTATGTATTCCTATAGGATAAGTGCTGGACTGCCAAATTCAAGGATGGCAGTTCAAACCCCCAGTTCCTCCTTGGAAGCTCTATATATGGTTTCTATGAGTTGGCACCGAGGCAGCAGAACTTAACAACAACAACATTCCTCAGTTACTATCTTGTTATCTGACATTTTGCATTTATTGCAACAGAAAAAAATTTACTGTCTATTTTGCACACTAGCAATATCTATCTGGCAAAGTACTAAGCATGAATAATGGTGACTGTGACGATTATGGTATGTGTCAACTTGTCTGGACCATGATTCTTAGTGGTTTGGCAGTTATGTAGTGAGGCAATATTGCAGTGATGTAATGACGTAGTCCTCCACTGTGTGATCTGATGTGGACATCCCACAGTTTTGCATAATGATGATTGTTTGCATTATACCTTGGTATTTATAATCTAACCATGCCAAAAAATGAGGAGTGGGTGTATATCCTTCTGACTTTCTACTTTAGTCCTAAAATAAATGCTGGCAATCTTTGCATATCAGTGTGTTTAGATTGTTTTCATTCAATAGAAGTATCTCCCAGTATTGTTTAACTCTAACCTTTCTATGGGCATCTTAATTACTCTATCAGTTTTCTCATAAAATAATGCTGTAATGAAATTTCTTGTATGTGTCTGCTCACAAATACTACTACCTCCCTATGTTGTTTAACTTAGAAATGTGTTAAAATTCTTGCCCATTTTTAACTTTTAGTCGAAATTACATATTGCCCTCCAAAGAGATTATATCACACTTTTCCCCTAAAAGTGTTTGAAAGTAATGTTATTGTTGTTAACTGGTATCGCATTATTTCCAAGTCATAGCAACCCTCTGCTGAGTTTCCAAGTAGTGGCTGATGTGTTTGAGCCACCAACCTTGCAGTTAACAGTCCAGTGCCTATCCTATAGTACCATACCAGGACTCCATGAATCCTTTCCCCAGATTTGAGCAATACTAATAGTATCAATTCTTAAATTAATACTTTTAAAGTTAAAAACGTATATTTCAAAAAATGCTACTAAATACTAGAGTAACATTATCTGCTACAAAAAAATTGAGTCTAAAACCAACGTTGAATTGTTATTTTAGTTTTGTTTTCCTATTTTCAGACTGAAGAGAATTCCTCAATTTCTTCATTTTGCACTTTAGTGGTTGTTGTGTGTTTTTGAATTATATTCACATTAATTGGTCTTCCTTGTAGGCATATGGATATTATCCTATCATAGACAGCAATATATGTCAAGATAGATCTTGAAATACTACTTTTTAATGATGAATGTGATGCCATTCCTCTTCAAATTGTCATTCTTGGCATAGTAAACCATATGATTGTCCAAACCAAAATGGTAAGTGCCAATTGATTTCAGCCCCTAAAGCCTAGAATATCGATCTTTATTCATTCCATCTCAGTTTTTACAACTTCCAATTTTCCTAGATTCATACATCATACAGTCCACATTCTGATTATTCATGGATGTTTGCAGCTGTTTCTTCTCATTTTGAATTGTGCCCCATCAGCAAATGATAGTCCCAAAAGCTTTGCTCATTCACATAACTGAGGTCAACTCTACTGTGACTCTACTTAGGACTCCTGGTGTGCCATTATAGGATAATCACTGAACTGCAAACTACAAAGTCATGGTTCAAATCCAGCGGCTGCTTCTTAGAAATGTTATACAGGATCACTATGATTGGAATCGACTCAAGGGCACTTAATAAAAACAACTTAGGGGAGGTAGCTCTTCCTTCATTATATTTTTAATATATTGAAATCTAAGGGGTTCACCTTCAGATAATGTTCCACTAATCTTTCAGAGCACTGTTGGCTCTGTAAGATAAGTATTGGACTGCTATCTACATAGCCAGGGGTTCTAGCCCACCAGTCACTGCACAGGAGAAAGATGAGGCTTTCTGCTTCCATAAAGATGTACCAACTCACAAACAGGTCATTATGAGTCCTAACTAACTTGGCATCTTTTAACAAAAACAATAACCTTTCAGATGTGGTCCAGAACTCCTTCTTTTTAGTCTATCTTAGTGTGGAAATTCCAATGAAACCTGTTCACCATCAGTGACCCTGCTGGTAATTAAAATACTGGTAGCATAATTTCCGGTATCACAGCAACACTCAAGCCACCACAGTATGACAAACTAATAAACAAAATGCAATGATAATTGTTGGAGATTGGAATGTAACACTTGGAAACAAAGCAAAAGGATCAGTAATTGAAAAGTATGGTCTTGGTGATAGAAATTATGTTAGGAATCAAACTGACTACATCTATGTATGGAGAAGGTGATAGAGAAGCTCAATATCACCAACTTAAACAATAATAGAGGTTGATTGTGCAAAAGAGCATCAACTGCTAACAAGCAAGTTCAGACTGAAGCTGAAGAAAATTAACAAAAGCCCATAGGAGCCCAAAATAGGACCTTAAATATATCCCTCCTGAATTTAGAGACCTTCTCAAGAATAGATAGGATGCATTAGACACTAATGACCAAAGGCCAGAGGAATTGTAAGATTACATCAAGAACATCATATTTGAAAAAAGCAAAATATCATTAAAAAGACAGGAAACAAATAAAAGACCAAAACAGAAATCAAAAGAGACTCCAAAACTTACTTCTGAATGTAGAAAAGCTAAAGCAACTAGAAGAAATGAGGAAATAAAAGAACTGAACTGAAATTTTCAAAAGACAGTTTAAAAAGGTAAAGTATTATAATGAAATGTGCAAAGACCTGGAGTCAGAAAACCAAAAGGCAAGAACATGCTCAACATTTCTTTAGGAAATGACCTGAAAAAAAATTTAAAACCTCATATTGCAATACTATGTGCAAAACTGAGTCCTGGTGTGGTACTGTAAGATAAGCACTAGACAGCTAACCACAAAGTTGGCAATTTAAATCCACATGCTGCTCCTTGAAAACACTATACAGAGTTTCTGTGAGTCAGAACCTATTTGATGGGACTTAATCTCAACAATGGACAAAATATTGAATGATGCAGGAAACATCCAAAAAAGGAATGCACAGTCATTTACCAA